TTCATGTGTACTGTTTATTTAATCTTTCTTCTTGTTATCACAACATTTTGTCGGTTCTGCCCTCCAGCTTTCATCAACTGTATGTTGATCTGGGTAACCAAACTCTTTTTTAATCTCTGGGTGGAGACTATTCTTATTCCACTGCCAATGTCTAAATAAGAACTAAACAAGATATCCCTTGACACAAGCAGGCGAATGAGAACAATCTACCCCTGTAAATTAAATAAAGAGTTCAGTTTGAAATTCCCAGTAGATTACCAGGATCGACATGCACCTGATGAAGGCTGATGGGCCCAACAGCCGAAATGTTATAACAGCAACAAAGATGAGGTCAATAGTTTGCATGTAAATGGCATAAATAATAAAAAAAAAAACATTAATAGTTAGAAATAAAATTAATTGTTCACTTATCTTGTCCCTACTCTAAGTTTTGTGGTGTTTAGACAGCTTGATTGTAAGATTGAATTTTTCAATCTTACAATCAGGTTTTCAACTGAGTGGATATAATCTATGCAGAACTTTGAGTAAGAACAGGATAGGTGAACATTTAACTTAATTTATTACAATATATTTCTAAAGAATTAACAGATTTATTTATAATCCAATATTTTTATTACTTCAAAAGATATTATATTGTGCACTTCTTATTTGAAATAGATGCCCCATTTTCCTTGATTAAACAGTGTGTATCATATCTATTGACAGTCACGTTTGAGAAAATCTAAGTAAAGAAAATGTGACCTCCAGCAGAAATAGAACTTGAATTCACCATTGTAGGGGAAAATAACATTTGATCCAAAATGCTTTACTGCTCAGCCATGAAGGACTTAACAGTAAGCGAGGCTGGTTTTAACCTATTGAAGGAAAGCACATCCCTTCACCTCCAATTATTTAGAAAACAAATATCCACCCAGTTTTGTATCTGAAACATAAACAAATCAATTTCTAAAGAATAAATGGATTTATTTTTAATTTGACATTTTTATTACCTCAAACTTTATCATAGTGGGCAGTTCTTATTTGAAACAGACTCCCAATTTTTATTTATTAAACTGTGTGTATTATGTTTGTCAACTTGCACATTCTTAGTATATATATATATATATATATATATATATATATATATATATGTGTGTGTGTGTGTGTGTGTGTGTATGTATGTATGTATGTAAATATATATATGTGTGTATATATATATATATGTAATATATAATTGATAACAGAAGCCATTGGTTTATACAAACAGCTTCCCATACTTAACACTTCTTGTTTTCACGCTCGTGTGGTCATGTGTGATATCATGGACCGTGGTGCTATTTTCACTTGCAGTGGCTCGTATGCACGAGTTCGTTGTTGCTTGGAAATCTTCCATGCAAACAAAACAGACTATCATTGTTGCTATGTCCGTGTATTGTATAATTTATCATAATGTACTTGTCATCTCTGATGATGGCTTATGTAAGCGGAATGCTTAGATAGGATTAAAAAAACATGTATCAATATGGAGATTTTCTTTCGTCTTTCAATGATAATGTTATTAAGCTTATCAGATGACATGAAAGGAATTTGCTTAAAATAATTAGACAAAACTTGTCTATATTATTTAATGAAACATGCATATATATATATATATATAAAAGAGAATACTCAACACTCACTTTCATGTTAAACAGTCTGTCATCTCAGTGTTGACTTCAATGTTCACTTTTATATTTACATACACTATCTCTGATATTCAGCACTTTATCTCATAAATTTAGCATACCTTAAAACTAACTATATATATATATATAGAGAGAGAGAGAGAAAGGTAGGTAAATCAAATAACTAGATATTAGCAACTGTATATGCACACTAGCATAGCATACATACACACGTAAGCAAATAAATATCTACCAGATTTACCTTAAGGTGTAAACATGACTGTGCTCAATGTGGTTAGACAGAGCTAAGAAATATATATTAAGAAATATACATATACCTATGTTTGTGGTGTGACTTAAGTTTCGTTGGGTAACTCTTCAAGCACAAGATGTAACATGACTTTTTTATAAAAAAAAAAAAGAAAAATATACAGGGACTCATGGGAGGAATGCCGATTCACAGCTCAAATTTAAAATAGTACAAAAACAATACTGGGGTACAAATACAGGAAATATGTTATAGACAGGTTCACTTGGAAATAAAGAAAGGAAATAAGTATTTTAAATTTGAGTTGTGAATTGGTGACTCTCCCATGAGTCCCTGTATATTTTTCTTTTTTGCTTTTAAAAAAAAATCATAAGATATACTTTGTGCCTGAAGAGTTGGGTAACCAATGAAACTTAAGTTGCACCACATATATATATATATATATATATATATATATATATATTATATATGGTGAAAATAAATTATTGCAAGTTTTACAACCATTATAATGCAAAGTAAGCAAGTGTGGAAACAACAGCATATATTTTTTTAAGCAGATGAGTATGAAATGGGGTTTATGAAATTACAACAAATTTTCAATTGTTCCTCCATTTTGTTGTATAACCAAGGTTGCACATTTCATCAAATTATTGACAGACTAACCATAACTTGAGGTGTGTGCTCAGCTTCTAGGGAATGTCTCCCACTTGATTGAACAACATGCAGAGTCTTTGGGGTCACAAACTTTTCTATCAGATGTCTAATTGTTGATAGATCAAAAGGATCCTGTTTTAAATTATTCTTTCTTTTATAAGATCTCATTGTTGCTGTGACACTCTCATGATGAGCATAATATAGCTTCATAAGCTCTAACTGACAGTCTAAACTAAGCTTTGACATATTTTCCAGAGTGATTTGTTGAAACAAACCCCAGCTTATATACATTTATTGAGTTACAAATAAATAACATGGCATTACCTGATTGGTCAATTTTAAAAAAACATTAAAACTTGCACACATTTATTTTCACCCTGTATTTTCTGATAAATTGATATCTGAAATATATAGAACTTAGTAGTTAAATTGCATGATGAGCATTTTGGTTGGTGGCATTCTTTACCCTACAAGATGAAGGAGGGGTCTAATTTTAGACAAAGGATTTTCTTCAGTGATCTCACATACAGGTAAATGGTTGAGGATAGATAATTAATCTGGTGTTCCATTTCAAACTTTCAGTCATATTGTAAAAAGAAGACTTGCCCCGTGTCCCTGTAATGTGTACATACGAGAAAAAGTGATATAATATAATCATTAAAGCTTCAAGAAAATATGTCTAAAGTGGTAAATACAGCATGAAAATAAGATAAAGCAAGTTTTAAAACCATTATTAAGCTTTGAATTTGTGAAGCACTTGTGAAAGTAACATATTTTGAAACAAATGGGTATGAAATGGGATTTATGAAATTACAACAAATTTTGAATTATTCCTCCATTTTATTGTATAATCAAGGTTACATGTTTGATCAAATTATTGACAGACTTTTCTATCTCACCAACATCTACAGATTTGATTTCTACTTGTAATCATGCCTTAAGTTCATCCAAGTTATTAGATTGAAACTAATGGTAGAATCGTGCTTTGAGTGTATCCCATAAGTTTTAAATTGTTCCTTGTTTTATAAACTCTCATCGTTGCTGCTTTACTCTCATGACAAGCATAATATAGCTATACAAATTCCAGTTGATAATCTAAATTAAGCTTTGACATATTTTCCAGAGAATCATTTGTCAAAACACACCGCAGTTTATATACATTTATTGAATTACAGACAAATAAATAATGTGTCATTACCTGATTGGTCAATTTTAAAAAACATTAAAACAACATTGAAAACTTGCTCATTTATTTCCACCCTGTGTGAGTATATATATATATATATATATATATATATATATATATATATGGTATAAGAATGACAACTGGAAAAAAATTTAGTTTTTGTCGACATGATTTGTCTTCTGAATTTAAAAAGGCAAACAATGAAAGTGAAATGTTTTTTGTGTCAAAATTACATTAAATCCAAAATTAAAAAAAAGAGAGATACTCCTCTTTCTGGCTAATGGTAACTTCCTTTATACTAAGAGTTTGTTTTTTGCTTTCCATGTCGACAATAAAGTAAAATTTCCCAGAATAATTCTGGGGATTAGACAAAGAACAACAATTGGAAAAGATTTAGTTTTTTGCCGATGCATTTCGTCTTCCAACTTTACCAAGGTAAACAATGAAAGTGAAACGATTGTATTTAGCATGAAACAGTCTGTTGCTTCTAAGTGTTGACTTCAATGTTCACTTTTATATTTACATATGCTCTATCTCTGATATTCAGCACTTTATCCAATATAACATACCTTAAAACTAGGACTGCAAGTAGTCCATAAATAATGGATTGTTCCGTTTTGATCATGTGGAAAGATTGACCAGAGACAATACTTGGTTTCATTGAGAAAATGAACAAAAGAAAGACACACCCTGGTGATACCTCATAAATAATGAACTGTTCTGTTTTGATTGCAAGGAAAGATGGAAAAGACATATCAGAGATGCTGTTTGATATCAGTGAGGAAAGAAAGAAAGAAAAAAAAATTCAAACAGGAAAGCCATGTAATTTTTACTTTTTTTTATATCCTGTGTCCCTTCAGAATGTAGGTGATCATGACCATCCACATCTTCCTGTGCGATGTGTTTAGGTCCAATCAAATGTGTATCTATCTTTCAGCAATTTTTCATGTGATCATCTGTATCATTTGAACAACAGACAAGCTTTACTATGAGATACAAAGGAGAGGATGTTGTGGAGAGCCATGATCGCTCACATCATGAAGGAACTTAACATATAGTGGAAGACCTGCTGTTGAAGATCACTTGTTTCTTCCAATAACCTAAACTCCACCTCCATACTTTTGTTCACTTCCCCTCCTGCCAGGAATAATCTGGCAAGTGACCGGCCTGCAACCAAAGAAGTTCAGACACCTGCTGTTTCTGTTCCTCCTTCTCCAAATTTGAATTATGTGGGCGAAATGGGTGAAACTCAAGCTGAGAGACGTTTAGTCTCTGATAGATTGAAAACAAGAATAGGAAGAAAATAAAATGAATGGTAAGATAGAAAGGAAAGAAAGGAGAAAAAGAGTGCAGAAAATAAGGAAGAAAAATGAGGAGAAAGAAAAAAGAATGAAAGAAGAAATACAGGGGTGAAAGGAAGAGAAAGAAGTGGATAATGCTAATAAAGATAAAAAAAAGAAGAAGAGGAGAGAAGAAAGAGTCAGAAGAGAATGAATAGTTAAAATAAACGAGAGAGAAAAGTGCTGCAGCAAATTAAGAAGAAAAAGAGACAGAAAAAGAGAAAAGTGAAAAGAAAAGGGGAGAAAATGATGTGAAAAGAGAAGGGGAGGCAGAAGAAAGAAAAGAAGGCAGAAAAGAAAGACATGAAAATAGAAAGACAGGTAAAAGAAAGAGGAGGTGAAAAAGAGAAGGGAGGTAAAAAAATATGGTGAAAAAAGAGAAAAAAGAGGAGGAGGTGAAAAGTAGAAAGAGAAAAGAGGAGGAGGTGAAAAAAAATGGTGAAGGTGAAAAGAGGAAAGAGAAAAAAGAGGAGGTGAAAAGAGGAAAGAAAAAGAAAAAGAGGAGGAGGTGAAAAGAGGAAAAGAGGAGGAGGTGAAAAGAGGAAAGAAAAAGAAAGAGGAGGTGAAAAGGAAAGTGAAAAGAGGAGGAGGACAAGAGGAAAGAGAAAGAGGAGGAGAAAAGAGGAAAGAGAAAAAGAAGGGAGGTGAAAAGAGGAAAGGAAAAGAAAAGAGGAGGAGGTGAAAAGAGGAAAGAGAAAAGAAGAGGAGGTGAAAAGAGGAAAGGAAAAGAGAAAAGAAGAAAAAAGAGGAAAAGAAAAGAGAAAAGAGGAGGAGGTGAAAAGAAAGAAAAGAGGAGGAGGTGAAAAGAGGAAAGAAAAGAAAGAGGAGGTGAAAAAGAGGAAAGTGAAAAGAGGAGGAGGAAAAAGAGGAAAGAGAAAAGAAGAGGAGGTGAAAAGAGGAAAGTGAAAAGAGAAAGAGGAAAGTGAAAAGAGGAGGAGGTGAAAAGAGGAAAGAAAAGAAAAAGGAGGTGAAAGAGGAAAGAAAAGAGGAGGAGGTGAAAAGAGGAAAGAGAAAAGAGGAGGAGGTGAAAAGAGGAAAGAGAAAAGAAGAGGAGGTGAAAAGAGGAAAGTGAAAAGTGAAAAGAGAAAAGAGGAGGAGGTGAAAAGAGGAAAGAGAAAAGAAGAGGAGGTGAAAAGAGGAAAGTGAAAAGAGAAAAAGAGGAGGTGAAAAGAGGAAAGTGAAAAGAGAAAAGAGGAGGAGGTGAAAAGAGGAAAGTGAAAAGAGGAGGAGGTGAAAAGAGGAAAGAAAAGAAAGAGGAGGTGAAAAGAGGAAAGTGAAAAGAGGAGGAGGTGAAAAGAGGAAAGAGAAAAGAGGAGGTGAAAAAAGGAAAGAGAAAAAAGAGGAGGTGAAAAGAGGAAAGTGAAAGAGAAAAGAGGAGGAGGTAAAAATCTGAAAGTGAAAAAGAGGAGGAGGTGAAAAGAGGAAAGGAGGAGGTGAAAAGAGGAAAGTGAAAAGAGGAGGAGGTGAAAAGAGGAAAGAGAAAAGAGGAGGAAGTGAAAAGAGGAAGGAGAAAAGAAAAAAGAAAGAGGAGGTGACGGGGGAAGAAAAAGGAAAGAACAGTGAACAAAAAGAGAAAGAAGATAGAAAACAAAGGCAGAAGAGAGAAATAAAATGGATGTAGAAAATAAGAAAGAAAAGGAAGGACTAGAGAAAAAGAAAGATAGAGAAGGAACAGAGATGAAAAAAGGAGAAGGTGAAGTGAAAGAAAGGAAAGAATTATTGGAGGAAGGAAATTGAGAAGAAAAATTGAAATGAGATGAAAGTGAAAAGGTGGTTGGTTAAAGGAAAGAAGAGACATGAGCAAAAAAAAATGAAAGAAAAAAGTGGAGATATGAGCAAAAAAAGAAAAAAAGAAGAGGAGGAGGAGGAGGCATGAGCTAAAAACAGGGGGAAAAAAAGAAAAGGAGATATGACCAAAAAAAATGAAAAAGAAGAGACATGAGCCCCCCCCCCCCAAAAAAAAAGAAAAGGAGACATGAGCAAAAAAAGAAAGAAAAAGAAGGGGAGGAGACATGAACAGAAAAAGAAGGGGAGGAGACATGAGCAAAAAAAATTCAATGCAGGTATGGCTAAAATGCATATGAAAGAAAAAGGTTAAAATATTGCCAGATTTGGGAGCAGAGAAAAGGTCATCACGAGTGGTGAGGTATCAGAAAGAGAGAAAGAAAAGAAGGAGGTATCAGAAAGAGAGAAAAGAAGGAGGCATCGGAAAGAGAGAAAAGAAGGAAGTATTGGAAAGAGAGAAAAGAAGGAGGTATTGGAAAAAGAGAAAGGAAGGCAACATCAGAAAGAGAGAGAGAGAAAAAAAGCAAGAAGACATCAGAGAGAAAAAAGGAAGGAGGTATCAGAAAGAGACAGACAAAAGAAGGAGGCATCAGAGAGAGAGAGAGACAGACAAAAGAAGGAGGCATCAGAGAGAGAGACAGACAAAAGAAGGAGGCATCAGAGAGAGAGAGAGACAGACAAAAGAAGGAGGCATCAGAGAGAGAGAGAGAGAGAGAGACAAAAGAAGGAGGCATCAGAGAGAGAGAGAGAGACAGACAAAAGAAGGAGGCATCAGAGAGAGAGAGACAGACAAAAGAAGGAGGCATCAGAGAGAGAGAGAGAAAAAGAAGGAGGCGGACAAAGAAGAGAGACATCAAAAGAAGGAGAGAGAGAGAGACAGACAAAAGAAGGAGGCATCAGAGAGAGAGAGAGAGAAAAAGAAGAGGCATCAGACAAAGAGAGGAGGCATCAGAGAGAGAGAGACAAAAGAGGAGGCATCAGAGAGAGAGAGAAAAGAAGGAGGCATCAGAGAGAGAGAGAGAGACAGAAGGAGGCATGAAAGAGAGAGAGAGGCAAAGAAGGAGGCAGAGAGAGAGACAAAAGAAGGAGGCATCAGAGAGAGAGAGAAAGAAGGAGGAAAGGAAGAGAAAGGAAGGAGGAAGAGAGAGAGAGAAAGGAAGGAGGAACCAGAGAGAGAGAAAGGAAGGAGGAACCAGAGAGAGAGAAAGGAAGGAGGAACCAGAGAGAGAGAAAGGAAGGAGGAACCAGAGAGAGAGAAAGGAAGGAGGAACCAGAGAGAGAGAAAGGAAGGAGGAACCAGAGAGAGAAAGGAAGGAGATATCACAAAGAGAGAGAGAGAGATAATAGGAAGAAGGCATCAGACAAAGAGAAAGGAAACAGGCATTGGAAAGAGAGAGGAAAAAAGGAAAGATGAACTGGAGAGAGAAAGAAAAAAAGAAGGAGATATCATAAGAGAATAAGAACAGTAGATTAAAGAGATTAGAAGAGAAGACAAAAAAGCAAAGAGGAGGAGGCTGAAGAAATCAGAGAGAAAAAGAAGAGAATAAGAAAAAGTGATAAAAGACATGGGAAGAGAAGACAAAAAATGGAAGAAGAGGATAAGATTGAAGATCTGAGAAGATAGTGATTGAAGTGTGAAAAGAAAAGAGTGAAGAAGAGAAAGCAAGTAAAGAGAATAAAAGGATGAAGTAAAGGAAAAAAATAAAGAAGAAAAATAATAAAAAGTATAGGTAGAATAAGAGAGAGAATTGAAAATATGAAAAGACAAAAAAGGGAAGACATTGACAGCATAAGAGAAAAAAAAAAGGAGAGATTGAAAAGAAGACAGAAAAAGATAAAAATCTGAAAACAAGAAGGAAATCATATGCGTATATCAATCAATCAGAAGGAAATAAAAAAATAAGAACAGAGATAAAAGTGAATAAAATGAGAGGGTTTGAAAAAGGATGTGTATTGATAGAAAAAAATAAAAATATAGTCAACCAGAAGGAAAAGAAAGAAATTTTGTTAGAAGAGAGAATCATGTTGATAAGGAAAAAAAATTGCACACATTTGATTCTTGATGCAACTGCTCATCTCTGATCAAACAGGAGACTGCCATCTTGAAAACACTATTATTCACAAAAGACAAATCTATTGTCTAGAAGCATCAAGCATTGCTAATATGACTGGCCTCTTATAGAGAAAACCTGAGTTCAATCAAACTGAACATATATTGACACATGACTATAGATAGATACATAAGAACTGAATTTGCAGATTGTGGGATAGAAGAATAAAAATTCCCCTTGCTACTACTGTGATGTCATTTCCTACCACATTTGTAAAGCTCAAACTCAATTTGGAGTAGTCGTTAAGTTGAAGTTGTTGAGATTGACACATAGTGGAAGACTATAGTTACGGTTCAGTAAACAGAAGTTGTTTGTTACAGTATCAATCAGATACAAACACATTCGTTGGAAACAAGTAATGTCCAGTCCACACCAAGAACAGTACAAGATAACTGATATAAGTAAGTCAAATTCTAGCTTGGTCTTTATTGGATATGAATCTATCACAGATTTGCCATGAAATAAGAAAAAAAAATATGTCAGTAATTAATATTTCCTTAATAAATATGTAACAGTCCCAGTTAGGGAAATAGATTGAATACCATCTTTTTTTCTTTTTTCATTTGTTCAACCAAGATAAAGCCCGAGAGCCTCTTAAGGTAGAGGTTTACTGAATGAGGTTGTTTATGGACAAATGAGGAGGAGGTAAGAAGTGCAAATTATGATAATATATAGAATGGTTGACACTAGACTTGAAAAGGTTAAGATTGTAGTAATCAGGGAAGGACCCTCTCGGCAATCTGCTACACAAAAAAGCAGCTCTTTGGGAAAAAAGTTGTCCAAATGTAATTTGTTTCTTACTAAGGGAGTATGAAGAGAATCAGCATGATTTGATCTTTTGTACATGGCATGGTAGGTCTTAACTGTAAAGATCTGGACTTGTGGAGCCAAGGAATGTAGCTGGCCAGTAAATTTTCCGTGATAGAGTAGTGACAAGCTTGTGGCATTTCATTTGTGGGAAAGGGATTGTAAGGTGGAAAATAATTCATCACATACAAATCTGTATAAATGCTTTTAATTTCTGTCAAGGCTGAAAAGAGATGATTAGCCAGCTCCAGTCAGCTGTGGTAGTAAAACTCCATTTTTTTTTAACTAAATAGTACAATTTATTACATTCATTTTTTTTTCAAATAATACCATTTATGGAATTATAGAATATCTCACATATAGCAGAGGTCATTACAACTCTGTTGTAAGTTTAATCATCACTGGGTTCCCAACATTACCTTAGCTTAGTAAATAATTCATTTATTATATATATATATATATATATATATATATATATATATAAAAAGGCAGGATATGTGTGTGTGTGTGTGTAGTGAATGCACGGCCACAATTTTTGACGGATTTGCACCAAAATTTACGTGCACATGCTCCAAGTTAGTGGAAAGGCCAAGACTAACTTTGCATTTCCCAACTCCCATTGATAGTGGAAATAATAGATTTTTTCATGCTTCTACAGCAGTTTTCATGTAGTTTGTGGCCATTTTGTACTGGCCAGAGTGCGAGTCAATAGCTGGCTGCCACGAATAGGCAGGAAGTTTCTATTGGCCAGCATGAGAGCCAACAGCCTACTGACACGACTGTTAACTAGCATGCAAAAATAATCGATAGCTGCATTCGTCACAAGTGGGAAAAATTTAAATCTGCATGGCACTTTTGGCTCATTCACTTGCTTAAACTCAACGTTGATTCTGATTCCGCAGAACTGGGTTGGGTGTGAAAAAGTATTTGTTGTTAACATTCTTTTTTCATTCGGTTTTTCCAGTTACAAGTCATTTTTTAAAGGGGATCGTTTTGTGTTCATTTTGTTTAGTTCTTTTTTCATAAGAGATTTAATGTTTAGTATAGAGCTTAGAAAAAATTTGCAGTGTGAGATAGGCAAGAAGTAAGGCATGTAGCAACATCAGCATGGCAAAGGGCATTCCTTTAAAGGCAAGGAAGGGCAAAAATATTTTAAGTCAAGTGATAGCGATTGCTGTATGAGTCGTGATTTATTTTTTAATCAAGGACGGGCAAATATATATATATATATATATATATATATATATATATATATATATATATATATATATATATATTTGAACTTGGCTCTTGATTCTTCAATCCAAGCTGCTATCCATTATTCCACTGTGCCTCCTCAAATCCATTACATTCACTTGCGTGCTAATACCCTTGGGAAAAGTAATAATCCTCTTCTCCCTCCAGCTATGGGTAAATAGCAGGACAGACTGGGTTCTATAGCCTTGGATGGCAACTGGTCTAGGAGAAGGACAACTCTGAATTCAAAATCTGTGAGGGTTTTTTAGGGTCCTTATGGTGCATAATGCACCAGGTAGTCAGCCCTAAAACAGCATGGATGGTTCTGCACAAAAACCTTCATCACTATAATCAAATCACATGTGCTGGTGTCTGGCTATTGGTTCCTAGGAACAGTGATGCTTGACCCTCATATATAGAATATGACAGGAGAGTTGAATATATATATATATATATATATACACATTTGTAGTGCAACATAAAGTTTCATGGTTTTCCCAAGTCATCAGGCATGAACTGGTGAATGAAACACTTAAAAATGCTTTTTAGTTACATTAAATTCAAAATGACAAGAAGAGAACCAATATCCAGAAGGAGGCTTAGAAAGTTCCCTTAATATTTTGAATTTAATGTAACTAAAAAACATTTTGCTTTTCAACTTGCTTTGATAAAGTCGAATTTACAAAACACATCAGCAATGACTAAGAAATATATTTTCCAGTTGTCTTTTTTATCCATATTGTCTTATCATCAGAATTATGCTTGTGAAACAACTGTAATAAGTGTTTCATTCATATTGTCTTATCTTCGGAATTATTCTGAGAAATTTAATATTATATACATCTCCAGATGTAAAAGAACGAAGAGTAAGATTTATTTCAGCGTTCAAAACATTAATTTAAAACAGAGCTCAATACAAAAGTAGAGCTGTAAATATTTATTTATTATGCATTCTTACATTCAAACATGCACATACCCACTACAAAACTGTACATCTTGTTTCAACGTTAAAAAAAAAAAAAACTTCTTCAATGTTTCATCAGGTGGAGAATCATGATGCGATTGGAATATTTTATTCAGAAATGCAGCTGTCAAAGCATACCTTACACTTCCGTCACAGGAAAGTTTCACATAAAAGTTATAAAAGAATTTACATGTAGGGAAAGAAAGGAATCTAAGTGATTAGTAACAGCAAGAGGGAGAAAAATATTGGGGTGGGATGGAGGGAGGTGGTATAAACCAAGAAGCGATAAATCCAGCCAATGGAATTCCGTCAAATCGTAGAATTTAAAATTTAATGGTCTCCTAACTTGGTTAGGTTCATGTTTCTAAAACAAAAACATTCTGTGCTCCAAGATGATTCTTCATGGAATGTAAAAGAGTTACTACAGTATTTTATGAAATGGACTTTCTAATATAGATTAGAATACTAAATTGATTTAAAATCTTTGCAAGGTTATATTTATTATACTTAGCTAAATTTTATTTTACAATATGAATTAGAATACTACATACTTTTTCACTTTTGTATTTTTTCTATAAAAATATATATATATATATATATATATATATATATATATATATGTATATATATATATATTATAAATTAATTGATTTAAAATATTTTTTTCAAACTCATATATATGTGTATCCAGTGTACCCATTCTTAGACCCCTCTAGATTCTAGTGTTACTTTCCTCTTAGAACTGAGGCCATATTGAGTGGGTTAAACATAACCCCATCTTTGGTACTGGGCGTTATCTCTAATTTAGATCCCAACAAAGCTAGTGGTGGAGACCTGATAACAGCCATTGTCTTGAAGAAATGCGCCGCCTGAACTGGCGCCTGCCCTTTCAAAAAAATACAACTACTGCCTCAAGGAATCTTGTTTTCCTGACTGCTGGAAGTCCTCTTCGATCATTCCTGTCTTCAAGAACTCCAGCGACCCCTCTGACCCTTCCAACTACCATCCTATCAGTCTCCTTCCCCCACGGCAAAGTCTCAAGCTCTAATCAATACCGGGTGGTTAACCACCTCATGCCATAATCTGCTCTCAGAAAAACAATATGGTTTCCGCTTTGCCGATCTACAGCCGATGTGCTTACAGCCATCACTGAAACAGTCTACCAAGCTCTCCAAAATAACAGGGAAGCCCGAGCCATGGCACTAGACATCTCCAAAGCATTTGATAGGGTTTGGCATGCCGCCTTCTTCGAAGCTCCAGGGTTATGGCATTACTGGTCGATTATATAACCTAATACAATCATTTCTGTCAAACCGTGGAATTGAAGGTCGTTCTCAACGGATTCTCCTCCCTTCCTATCCCACGAAGCAGGTGTTCCTCAAGGCTCCATCCTAGGCCCCCACTCTATTCCTTATCTACATAAATGACCTTCCTGACACCATAAACTTCCTGTTGGCATCTATGCGGATGACACCACAATTTATTCCTGCCTCAAAAACAAATCTAGTCTCGCTGACAAAACTCATCTGGCTGTGCATCTCGAAAAGGACCTCCAATCGATTGTGAACTGGGGCATGAATTGGCTGGTCAACTTCAATGCTTCTAAGACAAAACTGCTCTCTATTAATCACCACAGAGAGCCTTCCCTTCCCTCCATTAGAATGTCTGATGCTCAACTTCTCGAGAGCAACTCTCTGCGGCTTTAGGTCTCATGTTGACTGCTGACCTGAGATGGAATAAATACATCGAGTCAATTGCCCGTCCACTGCAAGGGAAAGTTGGCTCCCTGAGCCGCTTAGGAAGTTTTTTCCCCGGAGTCGATCCTCCAGATATAAAAAATCCACAATTGCCCTTGCATGGAGTATTGCTGCCATATATGGTCTGGTGCCCCTTCTGTTTGCCTCGGGTTCTGATAGGCTCCAGAGGCGAATATGCAATATGGTTGGCCCTGCCCTGGTGTCTTGTCCACAGTCACTTTCTCACAGATGCGCTGTTGCCTCCCTCTGTCTGTTCTACAAATACTTTCATGGAAATTGCTCCGAGGAGCTGCATTCGCTGGTTCCCAGACATCATGAGTTCCAGCACCCTATGAGGCTGGCATCCCGCTCTCACCCCTTCACTGTC